TTCTCTCCTCCTCCTATTCCGCCCCCCCGCCCGCCTCAGACTCGACGCACGCACGCACGCGCACACACACAAACGCGCTCGGATCCCTCTCTCCCTCTCTGTGCGCGAGGGCTGTCACGCGACCGGCCACGCCCCCCGCCTTTCCCTTCGTTCCCTCATCCCGGCTTCCGTCGGCGGGGCCGTCGTGGCTGCCGCCGCCGCCGCCGTAGTACGGGGAAGGTCCTTCGGAGCGCTTGCGCGTTGACGTACTCTTCCCTCCCTGCTTCAACCCGAAGGGCATCATGGGAAATGTAGTTCCCAGGTGCTAATAACGAGCGCGCCGGTTCTAGGAGGAGTAACGGCAACAGTTCAACTTTCAACCCTTGCGGCAAGGCCGGATGGAAACCGCAGTCCAAGAGAGCGCCTGTTGCGGTTTTTTTTCCCCTTCCGGCAATGCTTTATGGGAGCTGTAGTTCTCTTAAAAGGTTCCAAGGGGGGGAGAGCTCCCCGTGTTCCCGCCCCCTTTCGGCGCAGAGGCTCAGGGGAGTCGTAGTTTTTTGCATAGATGCGGGGATCCGGTTGCTACAGGCAACCGCAGTATCCGAAGGAGATGGGGAAGGGGCCAGAAGCTGCTGGCAAGATTTGTTTTTGCACCTTCCTGAGGCATTTTATGCCACTTCTTATGGCAGGGTCATTATTTTGGTTGACTCCTCCAGAGCAGGGCTCAAGTTCATGGAACCTGATGGCATAATGTAACATCCACCATCCTTTAAATTATCATTTTTTTAAATTGATGATTATTGGAATAGAGACTCTTTGCACAAGAGGGTCTTCCTGAAATAGCCCTGGAGAGCCCAAAGCATACATACAAGAGGGTCTTCCTGAAATAGCCCTGGACTTACACTCAAAGTCCAACGGGCATTAAAATTACCCCATTGTTCTCTTGCGCTACAGCGATGCCATTATGGACTATTTTGCTTTGTAACTTTTCCAAGTTTCTGTTGAAATAATGGAGGTTGAGAGCAGCCCAGCCCTCCAGAGAAACTCAAGACTGGACCATTGTTAACTTGCAGAGGGGACCGATTATGAATAGGGAGAAATGCAAATCTCCACAACATTTCTTTGTGATTAAATTTCACTGTACCAAGACAAACTTTTGCATTTGCACGCACATGAGTGCAAGGGGTAGAGAGAGGGGAAAAAAACTTGCTTCCACAGAGCAGTGAGAAGAGAGCAGTCATATTTATTGTCAACGCATACGGGCTGCTGTGGAACCAAAGAACGTATGGCTGTGTGTGGTCACAGCTGTCGCTTCTAATCCTCTTAATTCGTAATCTTTCGACAGATTAAAAATACACTGAAGGTTAACAGGTTTATCATTTTCAAACAGTACAGAAGGAAATTTTAAAAATTACAAGCGGAAGGAACGCTTGAGCAGAGGCATCTAAAGCAGTGGTCTCTAACCTTGGGCCTCCAGATGTTCTTGAACTTCAACTCCCAGAAATCCTGGCCAGCAGAGGTGGTGGTGAAGGCTTCTGGGAGTTGTAGTCCAAGAACATCTGGAGGCCCAAGGTTGGGGACCACAGATCTAAAGGACAAAATAAAGATGTCTGCCAAGACACTGGGAATTGTATTTTTTTTAAAAAAAAAATCACAAATGCTGCCCTTGTCCAAGCTACGCTCTTTACATGCAAGCAGCTGAGCACCTTGATCTGTGTGCGTTTACTCACACTAAGTCCCCTCTATATTCACTGGGAGTCAATCACAGCTGAGACCTCTTTCCCAACTGCAAGGTATCCCATGTTGCTGGCCTAACCCTAATTCCCATCATCCCCCTTCCGAAAGGCCCCGCCACCTCCCCCTCCAGGAAGGGTCGCAGCCTGACTGAAGTTGCAGGCCAACTACGGGGAAAGAGGAACAGGAATGGGAGCATGACAGCCCTAGTAAAATACAAGCAAATACATCAAATGTGAAACCCTCTGGAATCAGACAACAAGCCTTCCTGGGGGGAGAAAAAAGACTCCTTGAAAAAGAAATGGTTTGGGTTTGCTTTATTGAGCGCCTCTTATCACAAAACCATCCATCAGCCACGACAACTCTATTCTATCAAATATTTATTTTTCCACTGCAAAGAGGAGGTTGTATTGCTGCCTCGTATTCACAGTTGGGGTGGAAGTGGATCCAGTCTCTCTCTCTCTCTGGAGAGATTGACTCAATGCCAGGGTATAAAGGGGGAGGGCAAAGGGTTAGGATTAAAATACAATGTTTCCCCGAAAATATGACAGGGTCTTATATTAATTTTTGCTCCAAAAAAAACTCGTCAGAGCTTATTTTCAGGGATGTTTTATTTTACAGTCCTGTCATCTTCTGGTTGCTGCACAAGGGTGGAGGGCGGGGGCTTCACTTAACTGGGGATTATTTTTGGGGTAGGGCTTATACTGCGAGCATCCTGAAAAAATCATACTGGGGCTTATTTTCAGGGAAACGGTACGAAAACATCAGAATGTGTCTGGTGTTCTAGTTCACCAGTATCTGGAGGAAAGGCACCTCTTGGAAAGACTAGAAGGCAAAAATTAAAATCAAATTAGGGAATGAAGCCATGGAGGGAGTGGAAAGGAGATGCTATGGGAAAGATGCCACACAAAGGGGATAAAGGTACAAATAAGGTTCAAAGGCCAAATGTGAGCCACCATCCATCCACGTGTCGTTGAACAGCCCCAGGCAGACCACCTTGTGAAGGGACTGTTCCAAAGAAAGCCAGACTACCTTGGCTTTGGTCGGATCCAGCCAAAGGCACTTCCTAATGTCCTGAAAAGCAAGCACAGATCCGGACAATCCTTCCCCCCCCCCCAACCCCCCATACACACACATATACACATAACAGTACAGCAAAGGATCCTTTATACTTCCAACTCTCATTACCAATCCGAAGATTATTGGGTCAGAAAACCAGAAGAGGTTTAAACCAGCTAACCCTACTCTAATGGAACAGAAGCCATTTTAAACACGACTTGCCATATATTTATATTTTACACACACACACTCCGCTAAATTACACAGTATAGGCCTTTTCCTCTACCTCTTGCCACAATGTGACCTAACCAAAAAAACAGGGATAAATGGGGACTTTTCTGAGCTCAGTGGATCAAACAACCCCCTTTTCTCCCCTGACACTCAACAGGACACTTCAGTTAGTAAATATTAATTTGAACAATGCCCCTGACAAAAGAGTACCAGTTTACATATGAATCAAGCTACAAAAAAAAGGAGGGGGCCCAGAAAACAATCTAGCACGGGAAGACATATTGATAGGGTAGAATTAAAAAGTACCCCCCCCAAAAAAAAACATGGCCAGCCATATAGAACTATTAAGAAATATAAACAAGAGAAGGTTCTGTGTCCAGCCTTTAAAGTGGCACTGTCTTTTGTGCGTTCCCACGTCCCGCCTTGTCGAACACGATCCAAATCCTTCCACGTTTTGAGCAGGCTGTGCTACCGGGACCCTCCCAGGGGCCGTCCTGTGCGGAAGAAATGAGGTTCCCTCTGCGGGGTAAAGGAGATCGAGAAGCAGCAGGGCGAAGCGGCTGGTCGAAGTCGGACAGTCCAGCAAGCTTGTGGCCGTTTCTACTTCAAGGGGGGGGGGCGAGGCAATGGTTTCCAGGCTGCGATTCATGTCTCCACCACTCTGATGAGGGGCAAAGGTTTGGGGCCCAAAGGCTTGGTGAATCTTTTGCTGAAAGAGAGGGAGGGGAGGGAAGGAGAGGAGGATGATTCCATCTTTTTCTCCTTGAGTGAATAGATCTCAACAGATGAGTCAAAGGAAGCTGCGGGTTCAGAGGAAGCCTCTGGCATATTAAGCCTTGGGAAAAAGGGCTTTGGGTCCCAGGCTGGATGGCTTCCTCTAGTTATCGTTTCGCCACTCAGGGTCCTCCTACAACCCCTGCTCGTGGAGGGGTGGGAAAGGGGGAAATGTTTTAGGATACATGTCCAATACGTGCCGACCAACATGGCCAACGGCAAAGGATTAGAGAGGCTTCATCACTCTTAGAACTGTGGCACTGGAACCTTTATAAACGGCAAAGGATTAGAGAGGCTTCATCACCTTCTTAGAACTGTGGCACTGGAAGGGACCTTTATAGAATCGTCAAGTCCAGCCCCTGTCAAGAAGGTTAAAGTTCAAACTATCCAGATGGAAATTAAAGTAATCTACTTAACGTACATAAACGTGTTTAAACATCGAAATTTTGGGACCTGTGGCTGGGAATCCTGACGTAATGAGCAAGCAGCCTTGGAAGGAATACCAAGAGGGGACACGCCAAACCCAGCATGGAAAGGGAAGACCCGACTGGGGTCTTGTGGCTGGAGGGCGTCCCCCACAGACCACCCGACTGGGTCTGCGCCTCACCTGCTGATGAACTCAGACTTGGATCGGGGCCTGGTGCTGTGGGCTCCCGGATTGGCTTGCTTCTCAATGAGGTGCTCCATGCGATCATGCATCTCCAGGTTCTTTTTAAAAAGAAAAAAAAAAGAGGGAAAGAGATGGAGGGAAACATTTTTGTTCTTTTCTTTAATAGGTCACCTTTGCCTACAGACAAGAGAGAAAGATGCCCATCTCCGGCAACGGAAGGGGGAAAAAAACCACCCAAGTCTCCAGTCCCTAGTATTATCAAACAGGGGCTTTAAAGTCCTTTAAGGTAAGAAAAATCACAAATCATTCTGAATTCTGCCATCAGTGGGAACTAATCAGTCATAAAGTCCATTAACACCAGCCTCTGTATGTGTGGCCTTAACCCTTCATAAGGAGAAGACAGACAAATATAGCCAGTTAAACAAATATATGAGCACCTTTAAGTTGGATTACAACTCTTTTCAATTTTATAGTCAGTGGAACTGTTGAATACCCTAGGTTTAAGGGGATGTTCTTTCCCACCTTAACCTGGAAACACCTCTCCCAGTTTCCCCAGTGCAAAAAGCCCTGCCCAGCTGCTAAAACTGGGTAACACTGGATGTGTTCAAGGTGATAAGGAAACTACTGTCAGACACACTTGGAAGAAGCTGGTATAAGGGCTCCTTTTTCTCCCCTGCCCGTATCCTACAGTACAGCGACATCGCACCAGAGGGCAGCACCGCAAAAGGCTCGCTTTGGAGCAGCCGGGCCTCTCTCGGAAGGCGAATAAATATGTAACTCCAGTTGTGGGACTTCGACCTTTCTCTCTTCTCCCTCCCCCACCCCCAAACACATTAATTCTTAACCACTGGGATTTTAAACTATAGTGAGGCCTATATCTGACTGTTGCCATAAAATGCAGGAATGAACACTGGCTTAAAAAGTAGGAACCAGAAAAGTTAGGGAAGAATGGGCCCTTTATCGACTGCTGGGGACCATGCCCACACTGGATGGAACCTCCTGGTTCAGAGATAATCTTTTTTTAAAAAAACAGCTGCTGTTTTATGGGATAAAAGAGGAGAGTTGCTTTCATTCCCTGGTTTCAAGAGGCATCCGAATGGTTCCTTGGAATAAGGTAGCGATGCTGTTTTAAGAAATCGTCGCTACCTACCTCCGCTTCCAGGTAAGCCACTCGCTCTTTGAGTTCCTGAATGATTGCGTCCTTGGACTGGATCACCGTTTTGGAGTTCTGAAGCTGCGGAGAAAAACAGCACGCAGAATTAGATTCGGCCCCTAGAGAGAGAGAGACCTGGTGCGAAGCAGAGAAGCGAATAAGCACCACTACAAAACTGGATGATAACAAAATCATCACATCAGAAGCAGCATCTTCCAAGCCTCCATCGAGTACTCTTAACCCATCGCGTCACCTCTCAAGTACTTGTACTCAGTTTTCATTAGTTTCTCTATTTTCTCCATGTAGACTTATTTTTAAAACCTGCTGAAGTTTTAATTTCCAGCCAGGCGTGCCTGGAACTTTCTGTATGGCACACTAGATTTAAAACAAGTCTATTGAAGTCAACCATGTCTCTGCCTCCATGAGCGCACGTGAAATCTTCTTCCCCTTCGCAATACAAGTGGACCAACAATGCACGGTGAGATGCAAAGCCATCCATCAGGAAATGGATCTTAAATCAAAGACGCTGCTCAAGACGTCACTCTTCCCCAAGGCAGGCAGAGAACATGGCTTGGCTTCAAAAGCAGAGAGACCCGTTTCTAATCTTGCCATCTGGTTTCTGTTACGTTTTGCCGTTATCTTCCCTTCCCCTTCTTTGAATCCATGGAGGTGTTGGGAGAGCTGTTCAGCACTTCTACGTCACACAGACCTAAAAAATCACAACAACGGAGGAGAGCAAAGCAAAGAGAAACCTGAAGGGCTTTAAAAGGAGAACCACTCAGACGCTTCCCTAAAACGTTCATACCTTCTAACTAAGGAAGGGAAAGCAGGGCAAGATTGGAACTCAGGATAGCAAACATGGGATTCCAGGAGTTTTTTTCCTGTTTAGGCACTGAATAGATCTGGATTCATCCTGCCACCACCTAAGCAGCTGCAGGAGACGCTCTCACACAACACGTCCTGGAACCGGGCTTTAAATGTGCATTCGAAAAACCACAGAGGGGGTGGAAACCACGATGGCTAAACCAAAGATGCTCGTCTAAAAACAGTTGATGTCTTAATGCAGCTGGCACATGGTAGGAAAGGGCAATCACCTTCCCTGGGTATCCTCCCATCGTGGTATTGCAAGAGGTGGTCACAACTTGCCAGAGTACCAGAGGAAGGAAATTCTGCCCTGTGGCTCCCAAATCATGCACAACTCATCCTCTGTATACTGACCTGTTCGATCATCTGCCGGACTTTGCGCTGCTGGCTCTTGAGCATGTCATCAAGATGATGGATTTTCTCCCGCAAGGTGGCAACTTCCTTCTCCAGTTTGGCTGACCTGCAAGAAAAGGGTACATGTCAACCATCATCAGAAGAAGAAAAAGGCAGTTAAGAAAAACAAAATCACTCTTTTTATTCCACTCTAGCCAGTAAAGCTGCTTGTTCTTTCTCCTCCTAAGCACGAGACTATATACGAGAGCTACTTCAGGAATTAACACTATACACCTTGATAGCCACAAGAACACAAGGCAATGCCATAGGAGATCCGGATTCAAGTTCCACCAACAACAACTTGCAAGAGGGCTTACGTGCAAGGTCTTGTCAAGGCTGTTTCCAAAAACATTTCCCTTCACTCCTGGCCTGACAAGGGCTGCCTGCATTTATAGCTCCGTTGTGTTCTTCCAGACATGTGCCTCAAAAACAACAGTGCCTTGAGAAATTCAGTCACCGCTAAGGACAGGGTCGTCTCCAACTAGGTTTCTCCACACTGTATTGCCACAAAGTATTTCTTATACATCTAACTGCCCCATCACGTTACTTTGAGAACATTCATGTTTTTCCAAAGGCATCGGCCAAGGGCAACCAAAGCCGGCTTATTTGGGAGCTGGTTTTGTTCTGGCACGTTCCAACAGGCAAGAAAAAAAAGAAAACCACTAACAAGAGGAGCTTTTGCAGCAAAAACTGAACATGCAGCCCCTGATGGATCAGAGATTGAAAAAAACCTCCCTTTGTTGCTTGACAACTCCTAGTATTCTCCCATACACACAAACACACACACCGGTATTGCTGCCGGCCACTTTGGTTCAAGGAGGCTGGGAGCGCTGGTCGGAAAAAAAGTAAAGCCTGAAAGTTCTGGGCCAGTCGTAGCCTTGCCAATCCTGAGTCGTGAGCTAATCAGACATTGCCAAGCTGTCCACAAGGAGAATGTGAAGGCCACACCCCACCACCACCACCACCTTCAGCAGCTGGCATTCAGGGGGGCAGGTTGCTTCTTGACACCCGAGGTTCCACCCCTGGCGCCACCTCCTAACTTCTTGGATTGGCCGCAAGGCCTCGGAGCTGAACACCTTTCTAAAGTGGTCGGCAGGATCAGCCGCTGCGCCAAGAGGCTATGACCGACAAGAACTAAATCCCTCCAAAGGGGAGTAAAGAACAAGTTCAGAACAAGTTCAAACACCATTTGCAGCTTTTTTGGGGAAGCTGCTAGACGGCCACGGCAAAGCCTCCTGGGGCCTCAAGAATGGGAAATTAGATGCTCGCTCCTTCAAGGCATCAGGCCAGGTTTGAGGCGTACTGTCCTCCTGAGAGCTACGCCCAAGGCTTGGCCGTCCCCCAAATTTTGGCAACCACCCCCCGACACACACACACCCTCACAAGGCAGGCGGGCTCACCTTTCCTGTTCTTCCAGCTTGTCCCTCTCGGCTTTCCGCAGACGCTCCAGCTCCGCTTCCCCTTCGTTCATCTTCTGCAACAGAACCTGGTGTTCCTGCAAGCAGGTCGGGACAAACGCCGTGAGCTGCTGCTCTCACGGCAAGAGCATAGAGATGCCCAGAGAGGGAAGGAAGCATCTGGAGCCCTGCCCCATCCAGGCTGCCTCAGCTGGGGGGCCGGGGGAACAGGAGCAAGAAAGCCACGAGGGGGGGACACACATAATTTCTCTCGCACGGGTTCTCGGATCACAGGGACGCTTCTGAAGCCGTGCCTCGTCTCTGAAGCCTGATCAGGAAACCTTTTATCGCTAATTGATTATTCCCCTGTTGGTTGGAGAAAGGGGGCATTGGGCAGCTAATTGGGGGTAATACCTTATAATCTGTAACCATCTTAGAACTGCAGAGCTGGAAGGGGCGCTACGGATCGAGTTCAGCCCCTGTCAAGGAGGCCCAGTGGGGGGAATCGAACTCCCAACCTCTGGCAGAGAACCTCAACCCCCCAAGGCGAGGCATACAGCAGCTGGGATGCCCCCCCTTGCTTCTTCCTCTCCCTTCCCCCCCCCAACGAGGGCTGTTATCAAAATGAGAGGACATCTCACAGGCACTGAAGGATTTTTGGGATTCCCCCCCCCCCACGAGGGCTGTTATCAACATGAGAGGACATCGCACAGCCACTGAAGGATTTTTGGGTGGGGTGAATATGTAAACCATGCAAGAGTAGCCCCTCTATTAATAAACGAAGCCGAGAACTAAGTGGGAGACAGGAGTAAAGAAAACGTTCACTCCTAGCTAACGTACGAGTGGGAGGAAGGGGTGGGACTGCAGTACCTTCTCCATCCCCGTTAAGAGTCTCTGCAATTCATCCAACTTGAGATCTTTTTCCTGCAGGTCCTCTTCCGCCTTCTTGAGGGCCCGGCCGGACTGGTCTGCCTCCCTCCGGTAGTGCGAGATGGACGTCTACATGGCAAAGGGGGGGAGGGGGCAAGAGTATCGAGACTGAGTTTTTCTCCCCCTCCCTCCAATATGGAGCAAACACTAAGCAAGGCACACAATGGGGGGACCCTGTGAGGCACCTTGAGGAAAAGAAGGTGTGTGTGTGGGGGTCCACACTTTGTGCTATCAAGTTTTTAACTGGAATTAAAATGGGAATTTAAGGACTCCGTAAATCCCCAGAAGACATAAACAAACCAGAATTCCTAAATGGCTCAACCGTCATTGGGGGAGACACTTGAGGCAACTCCAGATAGAGCTGGAAAAAAACTATCCCCCAATTCCAACACGACTGGTCAAATCGCCAAGACTTTGTTAGCAGAAGCACCTTCAATGGTACATAAAACTCTGCGCCTGGACTCACGAGGGGCCACCTGGATTCCTTCCCTGCAGCTCCCTGGGGCTAACCTCATAGGCGGCTCGGTCCGACTGGTGCCGCTTCTCAGCCTCCTGAAGTTTCAAGAAGAGCCGCTTGGTCGTCTCCCGCATGACTGAAATGTCTTCTCCAGGATACACCGGCTCGTCCTGCAAGAAGGTCAGGGGGAGAAAAAGTTACCACCAGTGCTCAGGACAGAAAGCACGTGCCGGCTGCCCAACGCCCCTACAGAATCCCCTTTCTGCTGCTAGTCTGGAAAGTGGGCGGGGGTGTGTGAAAAAGGACATGGAAGGACTCTGTCTTGCCATCCAAACACAGAGTTTTCTGATGCATCTGCTGCTAGTCTGGAAAGTGGGCGGGGGGGGTGGGTGAAAAAGGACATGGAAGGACACCGTCTTGCCATCCAAACACGAAGTCTTCTGATGCCTTTTTCAGAGAAGCTGAAGGTGGCCAGTAGAATTCTCTCCTCTTCCCACAAACCCTCAACAACCTTACGAAGTGGGCTAAGCTAAAAAAAAAAATACGGACTGGCCAGTAAGCCAGTGCATTTCCAAGCAGAGTAAACCCACTTCAGTCCTACTCTGATTGACACTCTACCCATGACAACATACAAGCGTCCCAGGTTAGAATGTAAAGTGGGACAAAGATGCCCTTCATTGTAAGAGTCATTTCTCTCCCTTCTTCACAATAAAAGACTAGCCTCAACTACCCCTTCTGAGGCCCACGGACTCTTCCTACTAACCTGGCTCGTAGACAGGCTGCGATACGAGGTAGTTCGCTGAGGACGGATCCCGTTGTTTTTTTCTAGAGGAAGCTGCGCGGGGGGGGGGGGGGAAACAGGCAGGCCAATTCAGAAGGTCAGCAGAAGGAATCAAAAGCAGCAAAAGCCACTGATTCAAGTCCATCCTCAGGACACGCTCTAGGACTCTGCAGCTCTACCACATGGTGCCCATGACTTCGCCCCCTGCGTTGGAGGGCGCTGGCAGAAAGGCTGACTTGTAAAATAGGCACGCTACAGAATTATCAGTTGCAGAAGAACACGCACAAGGAGGCTCGGCGAAAGCAGCCAAACGATGAGCGACTAAACCCTTTTGAAAGCCACCTATCCTAATGGACCTAATTGCAACTTATGGAAGCAAATCCCCTTAATCAACTCTGTACAATACGAAGCAGTTCCTTCTGCCTGTCCAGAAACATCTCGGTAGTCGTTTCCTACAGTCAATATTGAAACCTCTCCATTCCAGTGGTTCATAAGGGGGGGCCCTGGACGAATCCCCTTCGCAGGCTTGTGATGAGGGTGAAACACAGGAGGACTGGGCATTCATAAGACCCTTGGACTTCTGACCACAATTCAGAGATGCAAACTTCATTTTAAAAAAATACCATTTCCTTACACTTCTCAAAGTGTCAGCATTTACTCTTTGCTGTTGCAGAAGAGCGCCTGACATCTTTCCCAAACACATGCACTATTGAAAGAACTGAATTAAAAAAAATCACACTTTCCACAGTTATGTGCCTGGGAAATCCTGCAACCTGGCCTTTTCAAAAGGGCGTGGTACAGGTTGGGTTAAATGGGTGCGGCCCACATGCCGTTAAGAGCAAGGAATCGGCTGGGGGCGCAGCAGGTCCTTGTAGATCCCTTCCAGCTAGCAAAAGAATTAGGAACTTGAATGCAGCAGCGACTCCAGGCGGGTATGAGTCAGCAAGCTACAGGGGCAAAACACGCCGGTGTCAGAGAGGTGGAAGCTATTTTCTAGCTGTGCTCAAAAACACAAGATCTTCACTAAAACAAACACATCTAAGGGCTTCCTGGCTGCTAAAGGATGAGATGAACTCTCCTGCAGGACAAACCTGGACAGGATGATGGAGAAGTGTACGCAAGAGGATGGGACTCAGATGTACAGAAAATTTCTGCAAAGGCAAAGTTTGGTAGGAAGCTAACCCCTTCAGATGCACAACATGTTTTTTAAAAGTGCACAACTCTGGTGTTAGCAGAGAGCCGAGACTTTCAGTGCTCCAGCTGGGTGCTCAAGTCCAGGAATTTTGCTACCGTCCTCACCAATTTATTTCCATTTTGCTTGCCAGCTCGTTTTATCCTGAAAAAGCCATTGATTACCTCTTGGCCATGACCGTTCTCACTCTTCAACTGATGGAGGCTCTTTTCGTGTTTCGCCCTGTCCTCGGCGCGGGCTCTGAGGTATACCTGAGTCACAGAGGAGAAACCACAACACCCATGAAGAGATAAAGCCTCAGAGCTGAGGAGCGAGATCAGACACGCACGGCAGCTCCAAAACTAGTTCGGGAGCAGAGCGCAGGCAAGTACGGCGAAGGGGCTGATCCAAACTTTCAGCAGACGGGACGACTCTGGTGAGCCCTATTCTGCTCAGGAAGGAGAGGGCTATTCCAACCCTGAAGGTTCCACATCGCTGGGTGTTTTTCAGGAAGAGAATAAGTTAGCTGCTCTCCCTATTTCAAAAGCAAAGTCAAAAACGAGGAGCAGAGAAAGCAAACGCACCGCTTAGCTTCCCAGAACAAACATCTTAGCTTTTACTCACTCTGCTCCCATACTCGTGTTCGAGATTGACTAGACTACACCCACGTCTCATGACTAACCCCAAAAATCTACCTAGGCATGCTTTTATCTCTCCGTGACGATTGCGGAAGACTTGTACGACAAGCTAGCCGTTGAAAGTGTGCTTCTCCCCGAGGACACCCAGGGATTTTTCCAACTGCCTCTCTGTCCGAGTAGAACCGACGATGGCCAAGGCTCACCTTGATGATTTCCTCGTCGCCATTGTTGGACTTGATGCATTCGGACGCCAGCGTATGACTGCTTGTGGGTCTGTTGGCCACCATGGCAAAGGCTCTTCCTACGGGCTGCAGCACGAGAAGACGAAACAAGAGGTAAAGAGGAGGTTCTCTGCCAGGAGGGGAAAGGGAAAAATGGCCCCCGTCATTCTGAAAAGGACGCCCACCAACGTTCCCTTCTGTTCCGACGGCACCACAACCAAGAGATGGGAAATTTGGGGTCAAGAGGGGACGACTGCCATTCGCTACACACAACTTGTAGGGGTTTCCCTTCCCACAAATGTTTTTTTTAAATAGGGTTTCTGTAGGGAAAGAAAAAGAGCAAGCTGCACCTACTTTCTCCTTGGTTTGGTCGGGTCTCTCCCCAGGGAGGTCATTCTGCAGCGTTAACCTTAATATTTTCACACTGTCCTGAAACCAAAAGGAGAGAGAGAGAGAGAGAGAGAGAGAGAGAAGAGGCAGTTAGGGGGATTTGCCGTGTTCATCATGGGGAAGCCGACAGGGTTGAAAGGCTAAGCGCTGCAGCTCAGCGCCCGCCTAGGCCTCCTCCGCTGTTGAGAACTAAGCTGCCACAAAGAGACGCCTTCAAAATCCCTGGCACCTCTTCCCCACACACAAAGAAATCACGCCTTGAAAGGAAGATCAGCCCTGGAAGCTCTGCTATGGGCAGGGGAGCAAGAATGGCTAAGTGATATATATCCCTGAAACTGGAGCCAGAGTGTCTGGGGGACTCGTAAGGAGGAGAGAACTACAAACTGGTTATGAATCAAAAAGAGAAGTGTTCTTGACATTTATGCACCTACAGGAACATTGCGAACTATTCCTTGGTCTTGGATGCCTGATCCAGAGTGGGGGGCCAAGGTCACATCTTCAAGGTGCCAACATCACTTGGGCTCATTCCCACGTTTCCATGGCCACCCCATTTTCTGCATAACGAAGGGCTTCTGAAGACTCACATGGCCTGAAATCCCGCAAGTGGCGTGGTCTAGCTGTCGCTGGCCTGAGCTAGGAGAACCAATGGAACATCAGCCTCCAACAGGACGACAAAGAGAGAGGCACTCCGTTTTAATTCATGGGTGGCAGCTGGCAGGAAGGACCCATTTCCGCCGCCTCGAATCATCTTAAGCAGGTGAATCGGTTTTCAAGGAACAGGCTGAGATTTTGTCTACTGCACCACCATCCAAAAAGTCCAGCATCTTGTTGCTGGTCTTGTAAACAGGGATTGAACAGGGCTTATTTAAAAACAACCGCTGTGCCCCAAGGATGGCATCCAGACACTAAAGTGCAGCTAACAACAGCAGCACCATCATCCTCTTAGAACTGCAGAGCTGGAAGGGACCCTATGGATCATCCAGTCCAGCCTGTCAGGGAGGCCCAGTGGAGGAATCCAACTCCCGACCTCTGGCTCTACAGCCAGAGATCTCAACCTCCGAGTTATCAATTTAACTTTAGAGTGACAGAATCGCAGAATGACAGAACTGGAAGGAATCTCAGAAGTCATTTGGTCCAGCTAAGCTGTGCTACTGGCAGCAATCGGACCAGTTTGAAATGTGCTCATCATCTGCAGGCCTCTTCAAGGGCATCATATGTGACAGGTTCCAGAGTCTCAGATTAACATGACTGGTTCTTATACGCAGCATAAATTTGACACTTATAATAATGGAACTTACAGCGATGCGTTAACTACGAGAGCATCGCTCTACCTCTTTGATGAGTTTATTGACACGTGTACAGGAACAGACCATTGCAGTTGCACTGAAACATGTGGAAAGGAGATGACTATTTTATATAATACTCGGTTTTAGTTTTTACATTGTGCTGTGACAGTAAGTCCAGATGAGCTCCCTTGCCCCAAAGAGTATGGAATTTTAGACCAGGGGGAGGAGGAAGGAGGAGAAAAGGAAGAAAACAGGAAGAAAAACCTACCCAACGGAGGCAGAGTGTGCCTGAAAACAGTCTGACACCCAGAATTGCATCATCCACATATTTCTGTCTAGGACACCCGTAGCCCCGCTTCGGTGCCTCTGGGGCTACAATTAGGGCCGGCACTCTCATTCGCCTGCTTAATCGTCAGTAATTTGTACAGGCCCGGGGAACACACATCACCATCCCTAGACCTTCGGTTCCAGCCGAGAAGCTGACAATGGGAGGCGATCCGGGAGGAGGGGACGGACTTTTAAACACTCCCATCTTTCAACAACAAGGCAGGTTTTAATTGCTTGTCAAACAACAACGCCCATCAGAGCCTATTAAAGTCGTTGCTTCGCCAACAAAAACCACTCCCCGGCCATGTTTGGATGAACGATCAGGGACCAGGCTCGCATAAGGCCCTTTGCAGCACAAGCCACACAGCCTCAGCCAACGCAAGTCAAGGGGACCACCTACGACAGGTCTTCAAGAGAGAAGGAGCAAAGGATGCTACCTTGAGCTCACTGGAAGAACGCGGGACGGAAAGATGCTAAATAAGCCAGCCTTGTCTCCTCCTGAAAACAGCTGCAAAACACCCATTTCGAAATGTCGGGGGGCAGGGGGTATAGTTACTCATTTTTGGGTCAAAATTGGAGCCCATGGGATTGACTGCAAAAAAAAAAGCTTAGGGGACACACTCTGGTCACCTTACAGGCTCCAAAGTGGCATCCGCTCTCTGGTAGGTGGGGAAATTGGAAGCCTTCCCAGTTCCCTCTGGATTCGACCTGGGACTTTTCATCACAACAAGCCTGCTAGAAAGTTCAGGATCAACAGCCACTAGGGTGACGTCATTGTCCCTGAGCCATCATCCAACAGGTACTGGGGATTTCCTAGCTCACCGCTTGCATATTTTGGCAGAGAGATAACGTCACCTCTCCGCCTGGACACCTATCATCGATACGAATAACTGCGTATTTGGGGTCAGAAGCTTCCTGGGGGGATTAGACCCGGGATTAACCCAAACCGCTGAGCATTCCAGGGGTGTGACTGTGTCAAACACTACCATTACCCCAGTCTCTATAGCAGCAAACACTCCCCGCACAGAGAACAAACATGTGCCATTCTACAGCCGACCCATATAAGGAAGAAGGAAAGAAAGAACTTCCAGGATTCCGTAAAAGTTTCAGAAGGTGAGTCACCCCGAGTGACAAGACCCGCTGGTGCAAAAGGAAGAGCAACTGTACAGAAAAGAGACCCAGAAACCAGGTGGTTAGGTTATAAAAATGTGGAGACCTGCAACCACCACGCTGTGGAACGAAGCCTTCCTGCTCGGGGCTTCAACGAGTCCCATCAGGTTTTTTTATTTTCAGGGGTTAATTCCATTCGTCTCCCAATCATCAAAATTCCACAGCTAATGAACTTTAATCCACGGCCCTTCTGTCTGGATTCCAGCCTCCTATCGCCTGCCTCTCCTACACAGATGGTGCCGTTTTCGCTGTATAAGGACTTTGTTTTGACGTTTAATGATATGACAACAAATAAACAAAATGCCACTAACATAACTTTAAAAAGGAAGAAAAGGGAAGCATGATTGTAATACACATTTTCAACTCCATCTTTCCTACCACCCTCGGGACTGGTTTGTGTATTTATTTTACTTTATCTTTTACAACTGCCCCATTTCTCTCCAGAAATATCTCCAGGGCTACCGGCTGTACAAGGACTTAACCCTCATCCACCCATGAATTTTTACTTCTTTCAAATGTGCATACTTCCCAGCGCCAATGCCAAGATAGTGACTATAACGTTTCCTCCAGGAAGAAAAACACGCTGCGTCTGCAACCATTCCGATTAGTTTGCCTCTCGAGTAAGGAGCATTCATTTATTCTTTGCTTGGAATGCTAACACAGGAAAACTATGTGACATACAGTACGATCCCAGGCATACTGACTCACGAGTAAGCCCCAGACAGGGTTACCCTGATAAAAAAAGCACAGGACTATGGCATTAACATGTATTGGGCAGTTTCGCATCTAATTTTTCTTTATGATTTATGATTTGAATTTTAAAAATCTGCATATGAATATATTTTAAATAGCAATTTAAATTGATTTTCATGCACTCTGGTCTGGGCCCACCTCCGTTTGTCCACGGCCCAACCAAACAGCTCAACCTTTTGAAAATCATAAACAGATCTTCAGGAAAGCTGTCAAAGATTGCTTGTATCTGTCATTTCCACCCGAGATACCTTCAGCCAAACGCAACTGGAGCCGGTCAGGATCTCAAGCTGTACTGGGCTCTGATGACTTAAGCCCAAAGGGGGGGGGAGAGAAGCCAGCCAAGCCCCTGTAGATGCCTTGATGACACAAACGCAGCTCTTCCCAAGCCCCCCCCCCGGCACAACTATCTACCCACGGAGAGGCATGTTAAATGTTACTGAAAGAACTGAGAGCCATTTCCAGTGTGGAGAACAGAATCACCTTTGCACCTATGATTTCATCAAGACCCATTTGACTGCACCCTAGTTGGAGTTCGTCAAGACGAAGGAAAGAATTATTTTTTTTCTTTTTGCAAAGCACTGGTGGTGAAAAGCAGCAGGTCAGAGCGATAAATAGTTTTCAGGCCAGTAATAGACAAATATAACCTGTTTGCGGTGTCTGTCCAAGGGACAGGAATGTAGGGAAGCAGTTTGGTGAGGATGTCAATTTTATTTGTCACTGTTTTCAACTGCTCCAAACTATTGACAAACCCTTTCATTCAGCTGACTGGCCTCTTTTTGACGGACTGTCTTCTGATTGGCCTTATGGCTCATGTGTAGCTAAAAATCACACATCCTCAGAGTGCCCGCAGGTTGTCAGTGGCCAAATTTTGTAACATAACAGTGAAAAAAGTGGTCATATAGCAGAATGAAATGTTCTTTTAGTTCAGTGAGTCCCCAGATGGTCTTGGACTAAAATTCCTGGGAATCTTCACTATTCGCTGTGCTGGCCAGGATTCCTGGGATATGTCACCCAAGATCATCTGGAGACCCCAAAGTTGGGAACCTCTCGTTTAGTGGCTAAGTTTGCAATTTTTTCAAAAAATCCAGAACAGGTCCTACATATCCGAGGCACAGGGATGGCATGGGAGACACATGGAAACTGAAGATACAAGGCATTGCAAACTGATGGAAAGAGAGGAAGGGAATACACTAGAAAGCGTGAGTCATGACATAATTTCAGAAGTCCGACAGCTGACAAGGTAAATGCGCTCATCATGCCAGGTAAGCTACCAAGGGTCAAAGTGGATTATAAGAGCTCAAAACTTTCTTTCTCTTCAATCTTTCCTGAGCATTCATTAGGGAGGGGGACTAATCCAGGTCCTTTTTCACCCACCAGAAAATATCCAGCTGCCTAAGGGTCAAGAGGTGAGCCCACTGCCTGTGGTCAAAAGTCTCTAGTCTTAGCAAAACCTCCTAACGGGAAAAGCACAGGGCGTCTGCACAGATCAGTACTAGAGCCGAAATACACGGACACCACAGCCTTGATCTTAAATTTAGATTTGACAAAGCAACAAACTGCCCTGGTAAATATGGTCAACTGTCCAGCCGGGGGAATCCCTGTCCATGATCCTATAATTCCTGAACAAGCAAACTGCCTCTTATGTTTACGGCTTGCTGGACGCCTGCTTATGGCGTGCAAGCGAGGACCACAGAGCCAAGGGGTCCTGTTCAGCATTCCAACCTGCTTCCAAAAAACTACAATCCGCCCATGTCTGGCAGCATCTTGAGGCTGCCGAGCATAAACTGTTCTCATCAGGCTATATGAGGGGCTTCCCCCTAAAACATCTTGCATATCTATAAACTTTTGAGCTCTCCCCCAAGCCTACTGATGCCCTCCTTAAGTTTGTCTGGAAGCTCTCTATTTTAGACACACAAGGAAAACCGCAAGGAGTTCATTATTAATCTATTTTTTTGTTGCTGCTGCTTATCCTTTTTTCCCCCCTAAGAGAACTGGGAGTTCAGGATGCTGTTGGACTGTTGTTCTCATGATCCCCGACTATAAGACACCCCTGCTCTCCCCAGTGAGAGCTGGAGGGCCATCAGAACCCAGCTCCTGTTTTCAAATGAATGCTGGTACTCCAGGATCCACACGAATGAGAAAAAAGGAGGGGAAAAGACCTGTCCATTGAACTGCTTATATTAGAAACCTTACAAAGCACTGTTCAAAGACTGCCTTAACAGATTTTTTCATTTATCACAGCAAGTGACTTTCTTTCTGTATGCAGAAGCACCAAGCCTGTGGACTTTTAAAAAAATCACAAATTTTTGCTAAAATGAAAATACAAAGAAAAGAGGAGATAGAACACAAAGATAGGCAAATTACACCATAATGTGTTGCTATCAGAACAAGCAGGTTTCTCTTCTGGGTTCAGAACATCCCTGACTTAAGAGGACATAGAAGCTTTTCAGTTCCACAGGACATGTTCCCCTTTTGTAAGATAAAGCTTTCAAAACTACATACTGTATATTTACTACAGGAGATACCATCTCCAGAACACATGCTCCTGGTAAATTCAGAATGGGAGCCTAAGACTTCTCTATTCTATATCCCACCTTTTTTCTGATAAACTATCCAGGCAGCCTAACTAGGCAAGCTATACAGTAACATTATCTATATAATTACCATTATATAATTAGATCATCTATGTGATTCCTCCATAGTTCCTGCTATTTGAGAGAACATTACAATGACTGAAAGCCACAAACAAAACCCCCAAGGATTTTATGCAATCTACTTAAAAAATAAATAAACTCCCCTCCATTTACCCATCCTTATTTCTCAGTCTGCTAAACTGCAAGCCTGCTGTACTCCACGCCACTCCTAAACTGAATTTATTCCATCCCACCAAATTCAACAAGAACTTACTTGCAAGCATAACACAGGACAGATGAGGCGGGGAGAGGGTCAATTAAAGATAATCCTTTACCTAAACAGGCACAAGCATCCACAATCTTACCCTCTTTAATTCTTTTTTTGAGGGTACAGTAGCCTTTTTAAGTCTGTTCCTGAAAAAATGAAGAGGGAGCCCTTTAGCAATTTATTTTCATTTGACTTCATTTGTTTAATGTGTGCCCTTCACAATTAACACTGTAAACGGCCCAGAGAGTGCTCTAAGCATCATGGGATTTCATATATGAACAGCACCCTTTGCTTTTAATGTTGAGACCACTCTTTGCTCCAAGATTGACCCAAATGAAACATGGGTGTCCCACCACATATGAACTTTTGCCATCATTCTTGAGCAAACTCACCAAAAACCTGAGCCGCTTGCATTGCAGAGACAGAATCTGGGAGTTCGATTCCCAGGGACTGGACTCCACTCTGTTTACTAGAAAATCTTATAAATTGAACTGTTTTGGGAGGAGGGAAGGCAGCTTTATCTAATCCATGCTTCAAAATTCCAGAATGAGTAAGGCTTTCAGTAAAAACTTTCGAAAAAAATGTTGAACTTCAAGGTGTGTTCACGCTGGGGATTCACAGGCGCGGGGAAATACAAAAGAGATTCAGTTCCCATCTGTAAAGGCTACAATTCTGCACCACTTTGCTGGGAGTAAATCTCCACAAAATGAGCTCATTGCCAAACACCCAGATCTCTAGGGATCGGCTGCAAGACAGGACATTTTTAAAAACCCACACCTTTGGCGGCTTCCTTCGTTTGCCCTGCCAAACGTCCTTATTGATTTCCACCTACGATTTTAAAACAGGATTTTTGGCAGCCATCCCTCTTCGAAGAAAAACAAAAAGGAGGAGGCAGAACCTTTTAAAAATTATTATTGTTGTTTTGCAATGCGACTTTATTATCGTTTCTGTCTGTGACTGATGACGCAATTAGTCCTAAACCCTTCTTTCCCTCCGAGAACGCAATTTAGAAAAGATTTTACAACTACATTTTTTAAACATACACATAAACCTGAGTCAGATTTTTTTTAAAAAAAAATGCTTGTTCATAGGTCCGCTTGACTTTTTTTTTTCTTATTTGCTGCTCCCCCGTAAACCGAAATATGAAGTCTTCAAAGCGGGAATTTAAATCCACATCAAAATAGGCAAGGCAGGTTCTGTTCAGGGGCTGCTTTTGTGCTTTTAAGGGGCGTCTTCAAGGAATGCCGAGAACCCTACGCAGTTTCTTACCGGGTTGTCGCCCTCCTGCTGCAGGTCCACCAACGTACAAAGACTCCTCGCCCCGCTCATCGCCACCTCCCAAGCCGCCGCCGTTCCGCTCCGACTGAAGGCGGAGATAGCCACGCCCGCCGCTTATATATCAGCCACGCCCACTTCCACACCCACCGGCGTTTCCAACGGCGGCCAGTCACGCCCAATTTGCCTCATTCGGATCCTTATATCTGGCCACGCCCACTAAGGTTGGAAGCTAGCCACGCCTCTGTCTCTGAGCTGGCTCGAAGGCACGCCCACCTCTTGTTTCTCTGTTATGTTACTGCCCCTTTTTGCCTTTATTCACTGCGCATGCGCCTTCTGCTGTGGCTTTTTGAAGTCTCTTACTGTACAATTTATTGTTTTATTAAGGAATTAATTGTTCTGGTGGGGGCGATCTTCAAGCTTGCTCTGGTTGCATTTAGAATTACGTCAGTGAAAGGAAAGGCTGAGCAAACTCCTCCATGCGTGCTGCCCTCCCAAGACGCTTGGAATACAACCCCCATTATCCTTTTCATTGCCTGAGGATGATGGGCGTTGTAGTCCAACTATCTCAAGCATCTTGGATGACAAAGTCGAGATGCCAGAAATCGGCAGTGACACTTGTTTAATAAGATGCCTTTGACGCCTATAAAACCTTTGTTTTTAAAGCCGGCTGAATAACTAACTGGCAGTAATTATTAATTATTTATTGTTTACAGAATACATTGTTGTGAAAACTACCCTTAATTATAACAATGATCTGTGCTTCTTGAACAAGTAAATCATTTATAACAACAAATGATAGCGATCACAATTATGTACACTATAACAATATAGTTTACATAAATATAAAGCATAAACATACTATAAAAACAATCCCAGCAGCAACAAGAGCAGGATCTTTTAAGTAAGAATGTTTCTGTGGTGAATCAGAAAGAAGATACACCACATCTATCCCTATGCCTACAACAATGACGAGCTAAATAACTCCAAGAAAAGGTCATAACCCTTTTCTTTTTCCTTACCTACATTCCAACATCTGGCCCCAAAATATAGACTGCCCCTACATCTGGAAGTTCCATTTCCCCAACCTTCAGGAACAGCACTGTGGGAAACATCTGAGCAACACAAGAACTGGCCCAGCTGTTAGTTAGTTGTTTGTTTGTTTTATTTACATTATTCCCATTTCCCCTGTCTCCTAAAAGGAGGCCCAAGGCAGCTAAAGAAACCCCCAGGAAGCAGAGTGAGCAAAGAAGCTGATATTCAGGGCTGTCCCAAGCCATTTCTCCTGAGCGCACACACCCAGCGTTCATTCCTTCTGAAGAACAGCAATCCGGCAGATTGCCATCTGATAATAATCATAATAACTACATGCAATCAAGTTGATTCTGATTTATGGGCAAACCTTTCCAGGATCTTGTAAGTATAGAAATATGGAGAATATATGGCTTTACCATTCCTTTCTGTCTGGACACTGCAGCTTGCCCAAGATTACACTGGTTGGTTCTCCTCCCTGCAAGTACACAGGAGGAGGGGGGACTCAAACTCCCAACCTCTGGCTCCACAGCCAAGTACCCAATCCACCAAGCTGTCTAGGCAGTGACTGCCCTTTGCTTAACACCACAAATTCTGAAGGCAGTCTGTTCCCCTGTCAAAAGGTAACATAAGAGTGCTTCCCCCAGCTTTCAGTCAAATTTTGCGATCCTACAATTTCTGCACTTCTCTGTTCCCCTCTGGAACGACTGGGTCAAACTTTGCCCCCCCCACAGCACTCCAAATTTAGGTGCATAACCTATGGCCCATGGACATAGTCCCATCTAAGCTCTTTGGGGCTCAAGGTGGGAGAGCGCTCAGGAGATCCCACCAGCACTTGAGAGATCAGGCGCGCAGGAGATCTCATAAGTACCTACCACACACCCTCACAGGTATCTGAAGGGGAAATGTTGGCCATAATAGCATAGATCAAGTACTGCATGTACAGCATGCCTGAAATCACACCATTGTTTCAACACTGCTTTTTTGCATTGAGAGTAGCAGCCATTGAAACATCACACACGCATCAGACCAAAGAACAGCAAACAGGAGATTTCTCTGACATGAATGCACTCACGTATTTTGTTGCTGTTTGTCATTACTGCCTCTGCTTGAAAAGCACCTGTCGCAAAAGGATCACTTAGCTACCTGGCCAGCCAAGAATAAATTACAGGCCTTACATGCCACAATCATAAGGTTTTTAAAGATAAAACATGTGTTAGAGCCTTCCTCTCCATCTGCACTCTCGCATAGAGCTCAGAGGAAGAAAATCAGATTTAAAATGAATGAATTCTCAGGCTCGGATTGGAAATTTGATTTGGGTGCATCTGGAAAGGAAATTGAAGTTGAGGAGTGGTATCCACAAATAAAAAAGGAAAGCAAAGAGTTTATTCACAGAAAGTGGCAAACAAAACAGAAGTAGTGGCAACCACTACGAACAGGCAGAAATTAAATAAGTTAAGTTTCTCCCCTCATCACTGCAGTTCCATGGTAAGACGAACACTTCACCTGTTGATTTCTTTTTGCCATGAAAAGCTCAGAACAATTTACATTAAAGGTTGGTGATACATGTGGGGAGATTTAATAAATCTCCCCACATGTATCTAAGTATCTAAGCTACTTTGTATATTTTTAAAGCTGAACTGGATCATGGGTTATAATTTTAAAACAAATAAATTATTATCTGAGAACAGTGAAGAGGGAAAGCAATTACATTTGCTTTGATAAATTTCCCTCAGAGTTCATAGGTGGAAATATCCACACAAAATGTTCTTCAAGATATACCGTATTTTTCCATGTATAAGACTATATTTTTTCTATAACTTTTAGACTAAAAATTAAGGGTAGTCTTATACATGGAAGTAAGCTGAGGAGAGTACAAAAACAAATGGAGGAGAAAGCAGGGATCAAATTGTTCCTGCAGCGCTTTGATCCCATTCCCCCTACACTTGCTAAGCCCCACTTAGATGTCTTAATTTTGGGTTAGAAAAGTGGGGGGTGTCTTATACATGGAAAAATAGGGCATGTCTAAACTGAAATCCTGTGACAAATAATTGGGGGTGGTGTCTTATACATGGAAAAATAGGGCGTGTCTAAACTGAAATCCTGTGACAAAGAATCCCCAATATTTGGCTGCTGAGACATGAGTTGCCAATTTAATTTTGGTTTTTTATTAGCTGAGCTGCGAGTTCAAGTTATGCTCATTTATTGCACAAGCCTATTACCAACCTGGTGAGTCACTTACCAATATAGGAAAAAATAAACATTGAAGATGGGACTCACTGGATGAATATTTTTAATTCAGCTAAGTACATAACACTACAAACCTCCTTTTCTAGGACAGAATATATTGATGGCTTGCCAAAATGCAAATAGAGATAATGGATTGATTAGTGTCTTAAATTGTATATAATTAGCCATCTACAAATTTTTTAATCATCGGCTGACATTATTGAAAACATGTCAATCATATACCGGGGAATATTCATAACAGAGAGCAGAGGTATCACTTTGCCATCACTGAAAAAGGAAGGTTTACTTTATGTTCAGCCAATTTAGCAGAATAGATATTGCAATAAGCTATAAATACTATACATATTCCCTTTTACAACCTTATGTATTTTTTAGCAAAGTGTTTCATGGCACCTTTAGATCTAGAGGAATTGCAGAGCCAACGGTATCAGATGGTAGAAATTGCTGTCTAAAACAACCCACAACTCAAAAGTCCCTCTGCCCTTCAACAAACGTTATTCAGGACCTAGTTTCTGTTTCTAAAAGACAGTGGAACAAATCATTCCGCAGACCCCAGATTTTACCACCTCCAGTTTGGAAATAAATAGAGAGTAATATTTCTCTAATCAATTATAATTGCTTGCCAGAGAAAGAGACCTTGGGACGATGGAACCCCTCTAGGGACTAATTAGCAAAGGCAAATAAGGGACAGGTCATGCCCTGCTGTGTCTAGAATTCAGAGGGTAGACTTTTCCTGTTTATGGAGGTTCTCTTCCACTACCTTTTTTTCTTTCTTTCAAGGGCAATGCAAGCCACCATGAGTTAAGACCAAATCCTTCGGCTGTTCTCTTTTTGAGGAGGACGACTCGATGAGAAGAGGTCACTCAGGGACAATCACACACCATGTATCACACCTCTGTTCATCAGGATTTGTCTTAGAGCTCGTACCTAGGGATGAAGGAAGCAAAGCAAGCTTTCTCGAAGCTTATCCTTCAACGACACCCTCCTGGAAAGCTTAATAAAACCTCTCTGCCACCGAGTAATCCATTTTTTCCTCTGCCTCTGATCAGAGGACTTAATCCATCACAAGGTCGGCCGGCTCCCAAATCTTAGCAGCCTTCCTGTTCTCTTTGAAGACATACCTGGGAGCAAAACACCCTTTCCTCCTTCTCGGTACCGCTGAAATTAAGATGCAGTAAATTTCCGCTTGCTCCAGCCGGCATGGAGAGCCTCCTCGGACGTCTCCAGAGGGCCATCGCTTCCCTTGGGTGAGGAGCATCAGTTGAGGACTCCTTCTCCTTCTCGCGCTACCAAGTGGAGGAGCCGGTCGGTCGCACCTCTGCCTCTCCTCCTCAACAATGAGGTGTGCCTCTTCCCCCGTGGCGGCTGCATCACTCTCCACTTTTTGGGAGGCTTTTAATTGCTGCATTCCCAGGAAGTTAGCTCATCAGGGGCCAGCAGCGAAGTGAGAAAGCTTTAGTTATGAACCAACAAGTACGACCGTCCTCCCACAGCCAAGCTTCAGGGAAAGAGTCACTCTCCAGATGTTTTGGAATGCAATGTGCAGTATCCAACCATTCGCCCTTGGCCATGCTGGGTGGGGATGATGGACACTGGAAGTCAAAATGTTCGGAGGGAACTTTAGGTGATGTTCACGCCAATGGAGACCAAACAAGTACCTAGACTTCCAATACATGCAGGAACTCCAACAGAATGCCTCTATGCCGATGGGTTATTTTCTGCTAGTGGCAGAATATGAACGTTGTCCTAAACAGCCGGGCAAACACAAGAAATTCCCGGACCAGCCTGCTTGGGGCTACTGGTCGCCATACCTGATAACCTG